GAATCATTTCTAAGGAACAGTGAAACTGGAGATGAGTCATGGGGTGGAGCTGGAACCATCTGGAGCCAGTTTCATTCAGGGGGACACTGGGCAGTAGTCCTAGTGTATTGAGATTCCCCCAGTCAAGAGTACAGCTGCAACATGAGAGGATTTTTCCAGTGACAGAGCACGTGTCTGAGCCACATCATGTCCGCACTACAGCCAGGTCCTGAGATGGGGCCTGTGACTTGTGATGAACAGAAATAACTTCCCTTGCATTCCTCATACACTGTGATATCCCACCGTGTGCCTTCTAGTGCATTTTTATTTTCCTTTGAGCTTTTCACGGTTCTAATAAAAATATAAAAAAATGTAGCAGTGTCTAGATTGGCAATATTTTGCTCCAAATCATCCCCCCTTTCAGAAAATCTTGCCCCTTTTCTTATCCGGCCTTGAGTATTTGCACAAGAACACTGACCTTCTCTCTGGGAAAATTAAGTGTGAAGAAGGACTTAGAAATAACTTTGTAGTGTAGACGTACCCTAACTAAGAGACGTTAATTCGAATTAACTCAGAGAGGCGCTACACACGCGATCCGCTAGGTCGAACTTAATTAGAACTAGCGGAGCGCTTATTCGAACTAGATAAACCTCATTCTACAAGGACTAATGCCTAGTTCAAATTAATTTGTTCGAATTAATGGCTGTGTAGAATTGATAGAATTGCTAAGCTCACCCCAGTACTATATCTGTAACAGGGACCAATTTTGTGCAGAACCTCACATCCATTACAGTGATATACAATTTTCTCTATAATCTAGTTACAATATATTATTTTTGACAATTAACATTTTTGTTAACTGATTCTTTAAATGCAGTATTGAGTATCAAGTCATAGTCATATGTATGGGTATGACTAGACTACAGGGTTTTGTCAACAGAATTTTTGTCGACAGATACTGTCGACAAAGCTTCTGTCGACAAAGAGCGTCTAGACTACATCCAGTTCTGTCAACAAAGCAAGACGCTTTGTCGACATAACAGTGTGGACGCAAAGGACAGTGTAGATGTAATAATGCCTTCTGTCGACAGAACTCTGTCGATAAAAGACATTATTCCTCATAGAATGGTGTTTACATATGTCGACATAACTCAAAGGCAGTGTGGACGCAGGTATAGTTTTGTTGACAAAAGTCCACTTTTGTCGACAAAACCCTGTAGTCTAGACACACCCCAAGTGTTCTACTTATTTCTTTTAATTCACATCCATAATATTTTTTCTACAGTATCTGTTCCACATATATTTTCAACACGCAAAAACTTTCCTGTACTACACACATCATTATGGAAGGTACGTTTACTTGTCCAATATTCATACAGAACTGTTTTATTGTTCATTCATCTGCTTTATGAACTATGAGTTTTAGGGGTTAGGAGGCAGCATTTTATAGGGTAGCTTCTGGAGCAAATGGGAGGAGACATGGAAAAATAGGGCAGAAAGTTGAAGATTATAATGCATGCATTGATAACAGGGAGCATATTTTATTACTAATGTATTTGCAAATACTGTTCTTATTATTACTCGGAATTTATTAGCTTTAAGTACATTTTTTTCTTGTGGTGGCCAGTCCCTTTTCTGTCTGTCAAGTCATGTTTTCTCTTATTTGTCAAGCAATGACTATAACCAAGGTTCTAGGTAATAGCACTCTCAAAAAACATTAGATCATCATTGATGGGATACATCCTTTTTTGGTCACACATCAATTCTGGAGAATTGTGCATGGTCCTTAACTTAATGTATGTCTGTATTGTCAGTGGCTTGACAATCAGGCCATGTTAATATTGTTTGACCTTGCTTATACGTATGCAATATTCATCTCATATTTTCTAATTGAACTGACTGTTATATGGATTGATTTTCCTATTTTCAAATTCACTAACTATTTCCTGTTTTGAACAATTCTCAGGGAAATGTTTTGAGGGAAATGTTTTGAGGACCAAAAACCCCAGTTCCTCTGAATTTGTGACCCATGGACCAGGAGCAAAAGGCCCCCGCCCAAGGCAAAACACCAGCATCCCCTGAGTCCGTTAGCAAGGAGGTAGCAAATTGAGAGATTTTTCTACCAAAAAACACAGTTCCTCTGAATTTGCAACCAGCTAGCAAAGGTAGCAATTCCTGAGCAGTTGTACCGAATGTCATATATGCGTGACAGAAACTGTGACGGTCACAAAAACGGAGAGGTTGTTTCACTTTTTGCCTATACACCGGCAGCCAGTGCGCTCCTAGCCCCACTCCCAGGGAGCCCCCTGCCATCCTCCCGGGGACCCCCCTGCCACCCCGCGCTGCTGCCTCTGACAGAGAGGCAGCAGTGCAGGGTGATAGCAGCCCCTGTCCACAGGGGGGACGAGTTTCCTGCAAAAGCTGTGCCAGGGTCCTATGCAGCAGCCAGACATAGGCTGCTCTGTGGCAGCCTCCCCTCTGCGCGCGCGCACACACACACACCCCCACTGTCGTCTCTGTGGGAAGCAGCAAGGGGTGGGGCAGGTGGGTCCATGAAGCCGGCACTGCCCTTGGCCCTCCAAGGGGGCACTGGAGCCAAAGGTCAAACCTCGTCCCTCTGTCCCAGCGGGGCCTGAGCCCCAGCCCTGCAGGAGCAAGGAGCTTGCCCTTAGACCTCAGCTGATTCTCAGCGACGCTTCCTTATTTCCGGTAGGGTGACCGGCTGCAGGGTCCTGTGCCCTCGCTGCGCGTCCTGCTCTGCCCTGCTGCTGCAGCACGGCCCGGTCTGCCCGGTGCATGGCTCTGTGTTACGCTCCACCAGGCCAGCGGTATTCCAAGGACGGGGCATGTCGGGCGCTGGGCCTCCTTGCTGCAGGGGATCAGGTGACCAGCGGGGGGGACTAAGGCAGCTCCCTGCCTGGCCTGGCCCTGCAGACTGCGCTGCACCCCAGAAGCGGCCGGCAGCAGGCTCGGCTCCTAGGTGGGGGGTGAGTGCACGGGGCCCCGCCCTCTCCCCCTGCCTCTCCCCCTGGCTGGGAGCTGCCGGCTGTTTCTGGGCACAGCATGGTCTGTGGTGCCCCCCCCACTGCACCGCTGACGGGGAGCTGCTCAAGGGGAAGCCCCTCCTGCCCTCAAAGCCCGAGCCCCCTCCTGCACCCCAAGTCTCTGCTCCTCAGCCCCGCCCTGGAACCCGCGTGCCAGTCACATTACGCTGAGTCATGAGAGAAGAGTTGGAAAACTGCTTCCCTTGTGCCTGGGGTCCCTCTGCACAGCCCCCAGCTGAGATCGGGGCCCCCATTTCCCAGGCACCACGTAGACCCTGACCGCCATCAGGCCCCCCGTGTGCAAGGTGCTGTACGGCCACAGGGCGAGAGGCAGGCCCTGCCCCAAGCAGCTTGCAGTCTGAACTGGCACGCATATCCCTGCAGACAGGGCCCAGAGCGATGCCCCTGAGCACACTGCCCCGTTCACCGCCGGCACCCCAGGCCAGGAGGGAAGGGAACGTTCCACCCGCTGGCACTAGTAGGAATCTCATCACTAGCGAGGGGGGCCACCAGGGGGCGACGTCGCTGCCCGGCGAGCCACTGGGACTCCAGCACCAGGCGTTGGCCCACCCACGTGGGATCTTCCCCCCGATCTGCAACCTCCGCCCCCCACGGCTGCCCCGCTTACAGCAGAAGGCGCCGAGCGAGCGCTCTGCGCTGCAAAGGCCCAGGGCGCTGGGGTGACTCAGCATCCCCTCCCCCAACCCCCCAGCTGAATTTCTGGGCTGAGTTGCTGAGCTGGCGGGCCAAGCTCACGGGCTGCTTCCCTTGTGGCCTTGGACTTCCCCAGGGCCATGGCACCAGCTCCCCAGGGCTTTCCCCGCAGCGTGGTTCTGGGCACAGTGGCGGGGGGGAGGCCCTCTGCTTTCTAGTGCAGCGTGAGTCAGCAGTTCTCCTGCAGCGCAGGGCCTGGTGGGAGAGAGCGGAGGGGAGGGGCCCATCCTGCAGCGCTGCCCCAGCCCTGGGCTCCTTGTACACAGCTCATCCACTTGAATTTTTAAAATTACAGTTGAAATCATTATGGCTGGGAAGAAAATCCCCCCTCCCTGCAGTGTCCTCGATGGTAATGGATGAGGCTGCCAGCCTGACACACCAGCTGCGAGAGCTGCGCCCTGCCCTCTTTCCTGTCATTGGCATGTTGACTCTGAAACCTAACGATGTCTCCCTCATGCTGTGTGCGTTAGCAGAGCCCTCCAACTACAGGCTGAGCCCACGAGCCCAACCTGCTTTAATGGGCCTTTTCTTCGTGACCCAAAATGCCCCTTTGTTCCTGCCCCGTCTCCGACAGCGTTCTGGACTTTCCACGTGTGGCTCTGTGGCCGTAGAAACCCACCAGTGAAGACGGTATAAAAGCAGTAGCACTGAACATGAAATGAGCAGACACAAAGGCCGGTCTGCGTGGCCACGGTTGTATTTAACCCAATGAAAGTCCCTCTTGCGGGGAGGTTGGGGAGCAAGCGTCTGGGTGGGTGGGTCACAGGGAGGTGGGGGAGTTGGCAGCTGAAG